TATAAAATAGTACTTTTTGTTCGTTCGAACTTAATTCTAGAATAGTTTCTGGTTCTTTGGCAGCTTTCACAACAAGACTTTCTAATGCAGGTCGTAAGGCTACTATTGCTGCTGCATGAATTGGATCCATATCTAAGTTAATCCAATTATCTAATTTTACCACATTATCAATATATTCAACTTTTCGGGAACCAAATAGTAATAAATGAATGGGTGATACCATAGTCATCTGTTTACAAGATACTGCTCTTGTACGAATCTAGAAATAAATACTGAATTAATATTATTCTATGATATGTTATCATATAAATATTATTGTAATTATTATATCTATTAAAATAGAAAAACAATTACTTTTTCACCAAATACGAAAAATGGAAATGGAAAATTTTGTTCATAATTACTACAATTGACTGATGTTTTATGAATCAATGCTGCTTTAGATTCAGTAGTGAGAACTTTTCTTTTTTCTTTATGATAACAAACATTTGGATAAAGACCCATACATAATAATGCAGTAATTGTATCAAGACGAACATCCGCACCAGCTTGATAATTTAATGGTGTAGGGCAAAGAGTTTCTTCTGGAAATCCAGCACTTTGCAAAAGTGCTTGCAATTGATACTACAGATAAAATATATTATTGACATTTAAATATTTTATTGACATATTGATTATTTTATGATATAAAAAAGTAATTATTTATAATTATTTACCTTTGCTTCCCATGTTACTCTCAATGTGGGCATACTTAAATTTTTTGAATCACAAAATGCTTGCTCTGCATACTCTCCACCAGCTCTAGCTTCTTCCCATGCTTGAAAAGCATGTAACATTGCTACATGATCGCTATATCTTGCACCAGCAAACCATTTCTGTTGTGCAGATAATCGTCTTACATCCGGGCCCATATTATATACTTCTGGAAATGTTGTACTATTTGCAGCCATTGTGGAAAGTGCATCACCAACACAAAATATACAACCAAGAATCATCATTTTGCCTAAACGAGGCTCTATTGGTAGTCGAGCCAATATTTTACCAAGAGGAGTTAGTTCATTATTTTCATCCAAACATTTCATTTCTAAAACAAAATTTTGAAGAGAAAAAAAAATTGATAAATATAGTACTATTAAATATTAATAACGATTAAATATTATTCGATAAAAGATATACCGCGTAATATAACTTCTGCTTCGATTACAGCATCTATTGGTGGTGGTTCAATTGCCTTAGATAAGAATTTTCCAATACTTCCTAGTCTTAATAATTTAATGCTCAATGCTAACTCGTGTAAAGGTGTTCTAAACATTTCTGGAGTCATATGTTCATCCATTTTATTGAATCGTGCTTTGGAACATAAGTGGAAACAAAATCCTGGTCTAACACGACCTGCCCGACCTTTTCTTTGTTCTAAGTTTGTTTTACTAGCCCAAACAGTAGCATAATTAGTCATATTATTGTGAGAAGTAAAAAGCTTCATTTTAGCTTTACAAGAATCTATTACATAAACTACGTCATTAATTGTTATTGATGTTTCAGCAATGTTCGTTGCTAAAATAATTTTTGTTATTCCAGAAGGTACAGGATCAAAAACTTTACGTTGATCTTCTCTCGGTAATTGTGAATGCAATGGTATAATCACATAACTTAATCCTCCATAAACAGGATGTTGTTGTAAATGTTTCATTAATGCAAATATCAAATTCCAGCCAGGTAAAAATATTAATATAGCACCAGGAATGCTTTGATCATTAATATATTTCAATAAAGCTTCTATAAGTTCAAAACTTATTTCTTTTTCAGAAAGTTGTGCCATAGCATTTTTTGTTTGTATAGAATATTCTGGGTCAATTATTTTGTTCAAATTCTCTTCTGGTTCTCCTTCAGTTGGTAAATCATCTGAATCTCGATTTTTTCGTTTTTTGGAATCCATAGGAGGTATAAAATTTGTTAATTGTATACAATCTTCTAAGAAATATTGCTGTACTGGATATGATCTACCAGGTATTTTTATTACTGGACAATTATTAAAATAATTACTAAATAACGTTGTATCAATCGTAGCCGACATTAAAATAATTCGTAAATCTGGATACATATGAATCATATCACGAAGCACAACCATAATAAAATCAGAATTAACATCTCGTTCATGAATTTCATCAACAATAACATGTGATACACCTCTTAAACCACCTTCTAATTTTCTCAAAAGTACACCAACAGTACAGAACATTATACTACCATAAGGTCTTGGCAAACAAGATTCAAATCTTACAGAATAACCAACAGATTGTCCTAAATTTTCACATCTTTCAGAAGCAACTCGATCAGATACAGATACAGCAGATATTCTTCTAGGTTGTGTAATAGCAATATTGCAAAATGCACCTTGACCCGATGCAATATAATCATCTAGAATAAACTGACATACTTGAGTTGTTTTACCACAACCTGTGTTTCCTCGAATAATAATTATAGAATTTTCATTAATAGCATTCATTATTTCATTCTTCTTTAAGAAAACTGGTAAACTAGACCTTTCCTTAATACTTTTTTGAAGATTATCATTTTGTTGCAATCTTTCTCGTTGTTCATGTAGTAAATCATCTGACAATTGTTCTAAAGTCATTATGGCTAATGGTCCTTCATCAATATTGCAACCAGTCCATGGATTCCAATTTTGTTGTGGTGGAGACCAACTTACTACTCCAGCTGGTTGTGGTGCAGATGAAATAAAATCATCCAACACTTGATTTGTTAATAGAGAGATAGAAACATTAGCTTGATTTCCTTCATTTATATTTAATTGCTATAATATAAATTAATATGATAAAAATTATAATTTAATATATTCAATAAAAACATTGTATAATAAATATACATATAAAATTTATAAGAAATAACCATTAAAGATCAATAAATTACCTGATTTGATTTCAGTTCAACAGGTGTTATATTCAAACATGATAGAACATCATTTATCTGATTTATTAAATCTGGTGAAATTTTAACTGGATATGGTTTTATTTGTTCTGCCTCCTTATTTTTTTTCAAAGTTCCACTAAATGCCTCAATAACACCAAGATGATATAATTGTCGAACAAGAGATAAAGCACAACTTTTTGATGCAGTTTGTTTATTTGAACCAGTTTCACGACCAGTAATATCTAAAATTTATTTTTATTAAAATTTTTTGTTAAAAATTAATTATAAATATTTATTTAAAAATTAACATACTTCTTCCAAGTTGTTTTACATAAAATGTCATTTCAGCCATGAAACTCCTATACAAAAATTCATATTATTAATATTTTAAACATATTTTAAATTTCTGTGTACATAAATCTAACAAAATTATAATGACATAAATTCAACTTACCATTTGAAAATATCCAAGACCACATTGGAGTACAGTGTAATAAACTTATATGAGTGATTGCACCAAAACCGTTATTGAATCATTTCAATAAAAGTTCTGGTTAAACAGTTTTATCTGTGCACGAGAGAAAATAACATTTTTCTCTTGTACCAGCATTAAATGTAAGTAAACAGGGTACTCTAAAATGGTCTTGTGGAATTTCAAATGGTATGGTAAATCACTCATGCAATTTGCTTTTGTCATCTTGAAACAGATTCTTTAATATAATTGGAACTTCAAATGCAATCATAATATTGTAGTAATAATTTCCAACCCAATGTAAAAGTAAACAGCTACATTGAAACAATCCATACCTCGTATGATCTGGACCAAGTGGGGTATATTTGTAATCAGTGTTAATTTTATTAGTTTGCATAAATTGATGAAGTTTTGATTTAGCATTTTCTATAGTCCAATTTCCATGAATTCTAGAATTTACATCAACATCTTCTGCATCCTCAACTTTTTTTTGATCTGCTATTCTATCAATATAGGTATAATTGCTTTGACCATGTTCATTATAAGCTCTATATGCTTGACCTATATCATTTGGACCCATTCCATCTTGAAATACAGGTCTTATTGGACTACAAGGTTCTGATTTAATATTTCCTAAATTCAATTGAACATTTCCTGAATCTTTTGGAACATCGTTTGGATTCACGTGTCCAGTACGAACTAAATAATTAACATAATCTCTAGCTGCATTTCCTTGAGCATCTTTTTTATTAGTTGAATTTCCTGCACCCACATAATCAAATCCAGGTACTCGCAATTCACAAAGAAATCGATGTCGATGTTTCGGTCCTATAAAATTATTAGTTTTTAATAAATTTTTAATTTTATATTATTTATAAAACTATTTATAATACCTGTTTGTCTCACATCAAATTGTGGTTCTTTACTATTTTTTGTACACCATTGATGAAAAAAAGATTTTATGTCACCCATTTCGAAATTTTAATTACCCACTTTAATAAATGTATAAAGTTCTGAATATTTATCAATAAAATTAATATAACCTGCATACAAAGAGAATTCTCAAACAACTGCTTCTATGGCGTCATGCGGAAACGGAAGTATTTGCATCCTATCATATGATTTTGTGAATAAATCGATTTATACATGTTTATATGATGTATAGATATATAGAGCATTCTTTTAAATAAAATGTAAGATATTATTATAAATATAATTTGTATCGATTTCTGTAATTTAAAATATTTTAATGTATTTATCAATGACATTAATTTCTGTCCTATTATGGATGGATTATTATAGTATGGATCGATCCTATTATAGAATTTCAAATGATATGTTATCCTAGTTTCGAATAATGAAAAAAAAAATTATAATGTACAAATTGGTTATACATAATATGTTCATTCTACCAAATGAGTTTTTTTACACAAATTTCTTTTATTTTATTAAATGTAGGCTTATAAATAATATTTTAATAAATTGTTAAACAAGGTATAAAAATTATAATATAGATATAAATGTTTTAATATACTCTTTCTCCATATATATAAAAATACATTAATTTTGTATTACATTTTCTTCATATATTTCGAAATTTCGGATATTTATATATCTACATATTTTTTTATCAATTCTTTTATATTAATATCCAAATAACAAATTCATACGAATTCAAGTAAACAAATTACTTTCCAAATAAAAATTTAATAAGAATAAACAATAGTTATAGCAAAAAAAACTGTCGTCGGTGCTCACCGACGCATTTTATGCAATAATATTTCGATTATTATCTCCTCATTTAATCGGCTAATAATTGAAGTCATCTATTACACTATTGATATTGATTTCTTCATTTCTGATGACTCAATTTAGTTAATAAGGTATAACATTATAATCAATGAATTTTAATATTTTGAAAGAAATCATACAATTATATGTCTATATTGTATATGTAGAAAATCGATAGTTTATTTACTTACAACATTTTATGATTTGATAAATTTACGTATACAATAATATTTTATGTTGTAATTCATACTGAATATATATGCATAAAATGCATTACAATTAATATCAAAACATGAAAGACATTACCAACAAAGTAGTAATATACATAGAAAAATAACATGAATTATTATCCCTTCTAATAGAACATAAATTATCAAATATTATGAGATACTATTATTTTAATTAAATAATCAAATTCTATTAGAATATTTAATTTGTTATTTAATTTTTTTTAATAATTAAGATATTGTTTGTTAATAAAATTAAGATATTTAAAAGATATTTAATAGTTTCATTTATCAATTATATTAATAATTATATAAATAAAAATTTTATATTACTTCAAAAAATTATAGGTAAAGGTGTTGATACAGTAGCAAGTCTTGATGAATGTGCAATTCTTGGACTACGAGGCGATTTATGTAATTGTGATTGTGATAATTTTGGAGTTGTTGGTGTAGTTGTTAATGGTAAATTTTTTCTTAATGGCTTAGCAGGTGTTCGCACTGGTTTGGATTTTATTTTAGATTTACTTGCATTTGCTAATACTTGTTCTGGTAATAAAGAACTACGTAATTCTTTTTTATCTTCTAAATGTTCTTTAAATTGACTATATGTTGTATCTGTAGCAGTTGAATTATGTGATATAAAATTTTCTTTTTTATTACTATTTTTTACATGTAATATTTTCTTAGGAATTTTCCTGCTTCTTTTAATTTTAGATCCACTTCCTCCTAAGCTTATATTTCTACGTTTTGCAGAAGTATTTGGAGATGGACTAAATAAAAGTTTTCTTTTTGATGAATTAATTGGTGTATGACGACGAGTACTTAATATGCCTGGTGTTCTTTTGGATGAATTTGAAATAGTTTTTTTAGAAGCACTTAATGTTGCTTTCTTTATTGATTTGTCTTTTCCTTCTTTTCTAGCCTTCTTTATTGTTTCTTTCTCTTCATTTAAATGTTCCCATGATTCTTTTAATAATTCTTCTACTGACATTCCATTAATAGTAAATACTTCTCCATGTATACTTTCATAATCTTTTATTAAATTTCTTAATTGCTCTTCTATTTTTGGCAACTTTTTCTGAATAGTTTTACGTTCCTTTTCTTCCATTAATAATTGACCACCACGATTATAAAAACGATCTGGATCATTTGCACGTTGTAATAACTCTTTCATTTTTGTCCATAGATTATCACGTTCTTGTAAAAGTTCAAATATAGATTTATTGGTCTCATAAAATTCTTGGATTCTCTTTACTTCTAATTCATGTAATGTTAATAAATCTTCTGTATATGTATGAGAATTAAAATGTATAAATTGTCTTCTTTGCTGTTCACTAAATTTACATAGATCCCATAATTTAACCAACTCAGATCTTACTTGTGATACATATCTGGCAATATTTTGCTTTCTTTTTTCTTTACAACGTTCTAATTCTGTACTTAATGCATTTATAGTTGCTACACTATATCCTATATAACTATTAAGAAATGATTGACAAATATGTTCTGGTTCATCCAGATATTTCCATAATGCAATTAATTCTTGTTTAATATCTTCTACATGTTCTTTTGCTGTATCCACTTTATGTTTAAGTTCATCTCGAAATTCTTTTAATTTGGTCATATTGTTACTGGTAAAAACAAAATCTTCACTATTTTCATACACTAAATTTTCAAAATTTGATGATGGTGAAATGCCTAAATCATCCATCATTCTAACAATTGCTCTACGCATTTCATTAAAAATAACTTCTAAACGATTTTTTTCACCTTCTTGTTTTTCAAGATAAAGCTTAAAACTATTAAGTTCCTCTTCTGAAGGTACTTTGTCTTCTATATTAATTGGCTGAGTACCTAACATTTTACATAAGGATCTTTCTTTTGTAAGCAGTTCTCTTAAATGTGTTATTCGTTGTTCCTTACAATATTGTAATTTATGTAAATCAGTGCGCAGCACTTGTTCTACTTCTTTTAAGGGTAAATCTTCATATCCAGCAACCATAACATTAGTACCTAATTCTTTTGCTAAAGTACCAACTTGTTCTATTAACTCTCTAATACCAACTAATAACGTTTCTTTTTTATGTTCTGATTCTGAAACCATCTCGCAAAATAGATCGTCTATATGATTAAATGCTTGTTCGCAATATGTGGCACGTACTTCTTCGCTAAATCCTATTTCTTCCCATATTTTATGCAATTGAGACAATGTACTTTTAAGTTTTATAATAGTCTTCTGTATATTTGATTCCCATTTACTTAAATCAGCCATTTTTGGATTATTTTTTAAATGTATTTGAAAGAATAATGCTTGGTGCTTAAAACAAAAACTTTATTGAACTCGCGTTACATCCACTATTTACGAAAATAAAATAAACTTCATACATCGAGACACGATTAACCGTTGTTCTTTTGAATTCATAATCTACAACAACGCCACTCACCTGTCTTATTGAAACTACTACAAAAGTATATTTCATTTAATTGAACCACCGGAAGTAAATAAATCATATATATAACCTCAGTTATTGACTAACTAAAATGTTAATAAAATTTATTATTGTGTAAAATAATTAATTATTATAACAATTATTATAATTATCAATTTTAGTTTTCGTTATAGTGATATATATTTTCATAAAAATATATTTTTATTTAGAAGCTATTTTTATTATCAAGTTTAATTTTTTTTATTTTAATATAAAAATTTTATGATATTTTAATAATATTTTTCTATATGAAAAATTTATAACAATCAAATAAATTATTTGTAACTTGCGTATTAGCTTTAATACTTTTGAAATTTACTATATAAATTTGAGCACAAACTATAAATGTTTTATATTATATATGTTTAATATTTGTAATTATATAATTTTATGCAATTACAATTATTTTGTTAAGTATGTAATTCATTTGTTTTAAAAAATTTATGATTTTTGATATTATTTATTCTAAAAAAATAATAATTTTATGTTATTGAAATGAAATATCAAAATAAATAAATATATTAATATTTATTTATCAAAAATTAATAAATAATTTTTCGTTAATTTATTTTTTTTCTATTATTATAAAATTTAATAAAATAATTTTCATTCTCATTTATAATAAATTTAATATTGGATGATTAAGTAAATATTCAAATTTAAAAGTTTATCATTTAAAATTTAAAATTGCAAAAATAATTCAATCAAATTAAAAATTTTCCTATATAACAAAATTATGAATATAATCCTGATTTCTAATCATGTGATTTTGTTTACATCCGGTAACTCAATTCAACTGAAGTATAGAAAATTAATGGAACGAATGTAGATTTAATTGTTATATTTGACAGATATTTCCATTGCATAAAAATTGATATTAATTGAAAATATTTCATTAAAAAATCAAATTATATTAATCAATATCATAATGAGCGAATTAAAACAAACAAATTATTTCGATTTCGAAATATTTCATATAGTTGATAATTTCTCAGTTAATCATTAATCATCAACAACATAATAAAAATTTATATATCTAAAATTTAAATAATGATTATAAATTTATTAGAAATTATTAATCAATTATTCATTAATATAAAAATTTATCCAGAGAAAGAAGAATACTAATTTTTATATGTAGTATTTTTTCTAAATTTTTATAGCATTTTATAGGAATTGATGTTAATATAAAAAATCAATTAATTTTTTAAAACAATTACAATTTATGTACAATAAATATTTCAACAACTATTCAATTGTTAACTTATAAAAAGCATTGCTTTTTTCATATGTGAATAAATAGTATTATAAATTTTGATTTCATATTAGGTTATGTTAGGTTATAATGTGTATATAAAAAGCATTCCCAAAAGAAGATAATATATATGTATATGTAAATTTAATTTAAAAATAAAATAAATCTGATATAAAAATGAATGATGATATACAAAGTTCACAGGATAAAATTCCAGAAATTGTTAAAAATGCTGTACTAATGCAAAGTTCTCCTATACCAATGGGAACACCCATTGTGAAAGGTTGTATTTTTTTGCAAAATAAGAAATTCAAAAAGAATAGTCAATAATTAATACAATTTATAATTTAATTTTCAAATAATAATAATATAATATTAATATATTTCAGGATATGATTGGAATAAAGGAATTAACTATCATGCTTTGTTTGAAACATATAAAAATTCGGGTTTTCAAGCAAGAAATTTTGGTTTAGCAGTGGATGAAATTCAAAAAATGATAAATACTAGAAATATTCCTCTTGAAGATGATCAAATTGATACTTTGGAAGAAGATAAATTCGTACAAAGGAAGTCTTCATGTACAATATTTTTGGGATATACATCTAATATGGCTTCATGTGGAATTCGAGATACTATAAGATTTCTTGTACAGCATAAAATGGTTATTTAATATATTTGAAAATCATATTCAACCATATTATTCATAATTTAAATATCAATAATTATGCATTTATGATTCAGATTGATTGCATTGTAACTACAGCAGGTGGTGTAGAAGAAGATTTGATAAAATGCTTAGCACCAACGTATATAGGAGATTTTCATTTAGAAGGAAAAAGTCTTAGACAACATGGTATCAACAGAATAGGAAATCTATTAGTACCTAATAATAATTATTGTTTATTTGAAGATTGGGTCATACCTATATTAGATGAAATGTTAACTGAACAGAAAACAAAAGTATGATTTAATAAAAGAAAATTAATATTCTATTTTTTTACAAATTTAATATTTGAATATATAATTTTTATAATAGGATATACTTTGGACACCATCTAAAGTAATAACAAGACTTGGTGAAAAAATTAATAATGAAAATTCAATATATTATTGGGCTGCGAAAAATAAAATTCCGGTGTTTAGTCCTGCTTTAACAGATGGAAGTCTTGGTGATATGATGTATTTTCATTCTTTTAAGAATCCAGGCTTAATTATAGATATAATTTCAGGTTTTAACTTATTATTGTAAAATAATAATTTCAAATTTTTATATATCATTTATTTTTTTTTAATATATAATAATTTATGATTTATTTTATTCATTAAATAAATATTATTTATATATTCAAATGCTAATTATATTACAGATCTTAGAAGATTAAATACAATGGCTATGAAAGCAGTGAAAAGTGGCATGATTATTATTGGAGGTGGTGTTGTAAAACATCACATTTGTAATGCAAATCTTATGGTAATGAAAAAAAAAAAAATAAATATAAAAAAACTTTGATAATGAACTGATTTAAAATAAATAATTTATTTTTTAGAGAAATGGTGCTGATTACTCCGTATTTATTAATACAGCTTCAGAATTTGATGGGAGTGATAGCGGTGCTCGTCCAGATGAAGCTATTTCATGGGGTAAAATTCGAATGGATGCAAAACCAGTTAAAGTAAAAACATTTTTGTGAAACATATTATTCAAAATGAATAAAATAGATTAAATTAATATTCATTAATATTCTAGATATATGCAGAAGCTTCTCTTGTGTTTCCATTGCTCGTAGGAGAAACTTTTGCTCGACATTATCATTCAACAAAAGAAAAAACTATTTCGGATGTTTAAAAAGAATTAAATAAAAATTAAGAAAATATGCGATTGTATTTTCATTTTCTTATACATATATATATATATAAGTAATTTCCAAGTTGAAATTTTCAATTTATAATTTGCATTATGTACAAATAATATCAAATAGCAAAATTTTTTCAATTATATAAAAGTTTAAAAAATATATTTTAAAGGTATAGCGCCTGCGCGATGATAACGTTCTTGCGCGGCAGGTGTTTGCGGCGCAGGGTTAAAGGCGCCGAATGGTGGTTATCTACGGTGGGGGTAACATCGTTTGTCAGTTGTTTTCCGTAAGTCCGCGCTCGTGGACGGGCGCATGAAACCAACCCCCAACCCCTTTATCAAGCTTCCCGATTTTATGGTTTCTGCCCCCGCGGGATCGGATATTCAGAGACTGGCGGGTCTGACAAAATCACTTATCCTCCACATATTATCCCTTTTAATTCCTATTTTGCTGTTCTCGTTAAAATAATTCTTCGTTAATTTCCAACGTTCGCATTGATCCGTCATTGTCGGTATGAATGATGATGGACGTGGAGGAGACCAATACCGCGTCCACTGCAAGTTCCTCACCAAGACCCTCCAGTCCTGCAGCAGATTCGACTTTTATCAGGTAAGAATTCGGAGTTTTGTGTTTTTCTTAAGATTAGGCTGAGCACTATTTGAATGATCCCATACGAAGAAATTCAATTCAATTCAATATTCAAGCATTGTTCAACAGTTGTTATCAAATATATAAGTCATTTGACATAAAATATTGTTTATTCAGTGTGTAAAGTGCATAATGTAAGTATATTAGGTTATATATTCATCTGTTTGAAATGAACTTTAAGAGAAAGATACATTACGTGTATATATATATATGCATTTACAAAAGGAATTACAATTGGAAGAGGTATATTATAATGGCGGTATATTTAAAAATACTAAATTATCTTTCATACTTCGAATTTTTTTCATGTAAGTTTAGTATAAAATTAATATATTATTTAATATAAGAAAATAACGTTTCATACATTATAAAAAAAATTTTATTCTTTGAAGTCGTTATATTGTACTTATAACTCAACAAAGTGCATGAAATTTTTTAAATGTGTACATAATCTTTTAAAGATAAAAGATGATAGTATTTCATACAATATCATGTTTTTGGAACTGAATGCAATTGTATAGGTATCATTTAATAATGCAAACTTTAAGAGCATCACGTCTCGTCTCCGCATTCAGCCTTGTTTTTTTATTCAGTCTGTTTAAAAATACAAAGTCAAACATAACATTACTAAGATCCGTTGATTGATTTTTTCTAACCCATCAAATTCATATTTATGAAAATAATCTATGATATATTCCGAATTCTTACTAATATAAACAAAAATATTCAATGGTTTTTTACCATTCTTTATTTTATTTAATTAATTTTTATCATATAACAATTGATATTGGAATATAATCTTCCCAGTAAAATTGATAAAATATAAAATTAAATAAATTAGATAACCTAATTAAAATTTAATTATTGTGATCATTTATAATAATATTAATTGATTAAATTGATTAAAATCTTATACAATTATGATTCAATAATTCCTTTTATTCGTTCATTTGTTTATTTAGAAAATTTGTTTTACCAATATTTTGAATTTTTGTATCGTATAACGAATTTAACGAGTTTCTCTTTTCTTATTTTCTTTTCATCATAAAATTATAATTGCCATCTATTCATTTATGAAATTAATCGCTGTTATTATGCGTTCGCGGAATATAACCAGTTTTGACGAGACGCACGAGTTACGGTGAAAAGGTTCACGGAAATGAATGTGACATTTTAATTTGAGTTAAAATTTTTGCAGGTCGGGCAAGTTGATTTCGACGTCTTTGGTCATTGTTTTTAAACTTAAGCAGTGGAGAAGGTCTCAGCAACCGTTAAAACCTCGTTCGTGGTTTACAGTGCGTGAATAAAGAAATTTAATTGAATACATTGTGCCCAGCACGAAAGAGAGATCGGATAAGTGAGTTTTAAAATAAAAATTATACGTTCCTTTTCAACGTCCAATATTTCTACAATTCAGTCAGAGAAATGGAAATCGAAATATTGTTGATTAGAATGTGTTAATACGTTTCTTCGAGATTGGATCAATGAGCACATGAACTATTTTTTCACACAGAATATACACGTACTGTGTGTTCATTATTTGTCATGAACTTATCTTCTTTAATTATCGTTATGCGTCGCGTTTCTTGAAAGTGATATGAAATAAATGGATGTAAAAAAAAAAAAAAAAAAAAAAAAAAATACGAAGAAAGTAAGAAAAGAAAAAAATTATGCACAAAATTTTATTCGAAAAATCGATATTTCACGTACACCGATTTAATAGATAAGAATATTATAACATCTTATGCGTGTTATAAATATATCACTGTATATAAATTTCCTCGTATAGCAGCGGTGTCTTTTCTGATTTTTCTGATTTATACTTCTGATATTTACTTCTGACTTCTCACGTTTAATTTCTTTTTTTTTTTTTTTTTTTTTTTTTCCTTTTCGCTGTACGAAAATTCATTTCCATATCTTTTCGTGCCATCTGCTCATCGTACGATCCTTATTTCAAAATGAAAGTTCCCTCCAAGCCGCTCAATGTATTTACGATGTTTCTAACTTCTTTTTTCCCTTTACGGGCATACTTTCGGCACAAGTAATTACCGTTAACGATGCATCTAAGCGGAGAACTTGCGAGAGATTCTCTATTTTTCCACTTTCTCGAAGTGTAGCAATCGTTCATTATGATCTTCTCTTATGATTTACTCACAGAGATCATTCATTCACGAAGAATCTTTACTTCTCGTATTTACATCAAATACACGATAACATAATAGATTTCGTTTCGCAACAAGCCTTTGATTTAACATTGTATGAAAATTAATCTTAATTCTTCTTTCATTATGCGCGCACAACCGGAAATTAAAATGCAAAAACTTGCATTAACGCGTAATTAGGTTTATTCGTCTTGTTTCAAACTTTGAACAGATACACGAAAACATCCTTTTTTGCCCATCCTAGAAATAAAAAAAAAAAAAAAAGAATTAAAAATAAGAGTTTTTTGTAATAGCAATTCCTTTCCAGG